AGGGAGGGAGGAGAGGAGGGGGGGAGAGGGGCTGGCGCCATTCAGGCCCGGGAAGGAGAATGTTGGGGGGGGGGGGCTGACGCCATGGTTGACGCCATTCAGGCCCGGGAGGAGGGAAGGGGGGAGGGAGCTCGCTCAAGCTTCGCTCTGTTGGGGGGGGGGCGGGGGCTGACGCCATAGCTGACGCCATTCAGGCCCAGGGGGGGGGGAGATTCAGGCCCGGGAGGAGGGAGTCGGGGGGGGGGGGGGCTGACGCCACGGCTGACGCCATTCAGGCCCGCGAGGACGGAGTCGGGGGGAGGGGGGGGAGGGCTGATGCCATGGCTGACGCCATTCAGGCCTGGAAGGGGGGAGGGCCGGGGAGCTCGCTCAAGTTTCACTCTGTCGGGGGGGGCTGACGCCATGGCTGACGCCATTCAGGCTCGGGAGAGGAGAAGGGGTGAGGGCCGACGCCATGGCTGACGCCATTCACGCCCCGGGGGGGGGGCGGGGGCTGAAGCCATGGCTGACACCATTCAGACCCGGAAGGTGGGAGGGGACATCCCATGTGTTTGACTGTTCACGCGAGATCGACACTTTCGAATATCCGAAGGTTGCCCAAGCGAGTTCAACCTCTCTATCTTATGAGCATGTCTCGATCGAGTGCTCTACTTTCAAACATAAAAGGTCATCCGTTGCAAGCAGTCGGTAACATCCTGGATCGGCGGCACTGGCCGGAGACCACTACAATATCATCCTTAACGAGGGCAGATAGAATCAGCAACGAGCTGAAACACATCGGGAATCTACAAGACCTGGTGGATCTGGAAATGCACCGCGTGCCGCGAGCAATATGAGAGCGATCTGGAACGCTCAAGGGACGTGATCCGAAAGCTCTGGAGCGCTCTGAAAACGTTTCGGACGCGCCCTGGAGCGGTCTCCATCCTGCGTCCTGCCTGAATCCGACCACAAAGCAAGGGAACAAAGACAGGAGTGGAAAAAGCAATGATGCCCGCTCCCGACGCTCTGGGCGCGCCGTCACCAGCGTTACTGGCAGGGGGGAGGGCTGCGCAGTCACCCGACGCACACAAGATCGGGCAAGCATGCATGGACCCTTGGCAAGGTGTTGCGAGTCTGTATGCGTGTACGTCTGTGTGTGTCTATGTGTGTCTGTGTGTCTGTGTGTGTCTGTGTGTGTCTGTGTGTGTCTCTGTGTGTGTGTCTCTGTGTGTGTCTGTGTCTGTGTCTGTGCCTGTGTACGCCGGAATGTCTGTGTGTATGTGTGTCTGTGTGTGTCTGTGCATGTCTGTGTGTGTGTGGCTGCTTGTGTCGGTGTGTCTGTGTCCCTGCGTGTGTCTGTATGTGCCTGTGTCCGTGTCTCTGTGTGTGTCTGTATGTGCCTGTGTGTGTTTGCGTCTGTGTCTGCGTCTGCGTCATTGTGTGTCTGTGTGCGTCTGTGTCTATGTCTGTGTATGTGTCTGTTTCGGTGTATGTGTCGGTGTCCGTGTGTGCCTGTGTGTGAGTGTGTGTGCTTGCGACTGTGTCTGCATCTGTGCCTGCGTCTGCGTCTGCGTCTGAGTCTGCGTCTATGTCTGCGTCTGTGCCTGCGTTTGTGCCTGCGTCTGAGTCTGCGTATGTGTCTGCGTCTGTGTCTGCGTCTGTGTCTGTGTCTGTGTCTGCGTCTGTGTCTGCGTCTGTGTCTGCGTCTGTGTCTGCGTCTGTGTCTGCGTCTGTGTGCGTCTGTGTGCGTCTGTGTGCATCGGTGTGCATCTGTGAGCGTCTGTTTCTGCGCGTGTGTTTGCGTCTGTGTATGCGTCTGTGTCTGCGTCTGTGTGCGTCTGTCTGCGTCTGTTCGCATCTGGTTGCTTCTGTGTGCGTCTGTGCCTGTGTCTGTGTGAAGTTGCCTGTGTCGGTGTCGATGTCTGTGCCTGTGTCTGTGTTTGTGTCTGTGTCTGTGTCTGTGTGTAACTGTGTTTCTGTGACTATGTATCTGTCTGCGTCTGTGTGCGTGCCTGTGTGCGTCTGTGTGTGTGTCTGTCTGTGTGTGTGTCTGTCTGTGTGATGGGGGGTTTGCTGTGTGAGTGTGTTGTGTGTTGTTTGTGTTGTGTGTGCTGTGTGCGCTGTGTAATGTGTGTTGTGTGTTGTGTGCTGTGTGCGTTGTGTGTGGTGCGTTGTGTGATGTGTGGTGTGGTGTGTGGGTGTGCTGTGTGGTGTATGGTCTGTGTGGGTGGTGTGTGGTGTGTGGTGTGTGGTGGGTGGTGTGGGTGTGGGTGTGGGTGTGCGTGCGTGCGTGAGTGCGTGCGTTCGTGCATGCGCGCGTTCGTGCGCGCGTGCGTGTGTGCGCGTGCGCGTGCGTGCGTGCGTGCCTGCACGTGTGCGTGCCTGCGCGCGCGAGTGTGTGTGCATGTGTATGCGTATGTGTATGTGTATGTGAGTGTGAATGTGAATGCGTATGCGTATGTGTATGTGTATGTGCATGTGTATGTGTATGTGCGTGTACATGTGCATGTGCATGTGCATGTATGTGTGCATGTGTACGTATAGTTGCATGTGTATGTGTATGTGCGCGTGTATATGTGTAGTGTATGTGTATATGTAATTGCATGTGTGTCTGTGTATGCGTATGTGTATGTGCATGTGTATGTGTCTGTGTTTGTGTATGTGTCTTTGTGTATGTGTGATGTGTGGATGTGTGTATGTCTGTGTGTCTGTGTGTCTTTGCGTCTGTGTGTGTGTCGGTTTATGTGTGTCTGACTATGTGTGTCTGTATGTCTGTGTTTGTGTGTCTGTATGTCTGTGTGGTTGTGCGTCTGTGCGTCTGTGCGTCTGTGCGTCTATGTGTCCGTGTCTGTGTGTTGGTGTGTCTGTGTGTCTGTATGTGTCTGTGTTTGTGTGTGTAAGTGTGTAAGTGTGTAAGTGTGTAAGTGTGTAAGTGTGTGTGCGTGTGTGTGTGTGGGTGGGGTGTTCTTGTTGGGGGGGTCTTGTTCTGTGTCAACTCATGGGAGCCTTCCCTACCTTGTTGCGGGCTCTTGCTAGTCTCATCGACGCGTGCCGAGGCTAAATCGAAGCCAAACGACGCCAACCGACGCCAAATCGGGCCATCCCATCGATCACCAGACGCTGATCGACGCCAACGCACTCCAAAGACGGAATTTTATGAGGGCACACCATGCTCCCATGACTTCCTACAGAAGGTATTGTTCGCCGCTTCTTTAGGGGAACAGGCCATAGCATAACATACACACTTAGGGGTCCGCGCGGATTTCTCAAACCTGCGCTGGACCCCCCTCCCTGGCGCGCGGAGCACGCAAGGGGCGGCGCTGGAGGCGCCGCCCCGGCGAGGATCCAGGGAATCCACGCGAAGTGCAAAAAGTTTATGCTTATGGCATTTTTTCTTCTTCGATTCTTGTTGCCAGACTTAGGTCGGGCGTGTCCCCCTACAGGCGGATTTCGGAGAAGAAGTGTTAAAGAGGAAGCCCAAAGATGCTCAAAAATGTTCAGAAATCATCCCCAGAGTACTCTTCACTACTTTTGAGAATATTCCTCCTGTGGAGGGACGTGCCCGACTTCTTGCCAGACAAGGCCCGAGAGGGGGGGGCGCGCTCCTCTCTCGGCCACGCTGCGCCACCGCGTGCCTGCCCCCAGCCGCCGCCGCACCGGGCCGAGAGCCGCGCCGAAGGGAGCGGGGGGAGGCCAGAGACCGAAGTGCCCCCCGGCGGGGCCGGCCGGGACAGGCTGCCGAGGGCTGGGGCCGAGAGGTGGGGTGTGCTTGGAAGCGTGGCGAGGGCCGGCAGATCCGCGGCTGCTGAAACGGTCTTCCCGGAAGAAAAAGACAAGTTCCCGGCATCAAGCCCAGCGCGCCGAATAGTGAACGGGCTGTTCCCGGAAGGGAAAAAAAGAGAATCCCGGAACTCCGTTTTAGCAGCAACGGGTTTGCCAGCCGTCGCCCGGCTTCTGATGTGCGCAGGAGGCATCTGTACAGTGGGGGCCCGACCACAAGAAACCTCCCACAAGAAACCCAACCCTGAGGCCCCAGCGCGTCCATTGACTTTGTTTGGTGTGGGAGCGTCACGCTTTCCATAGCAAGGCCCTCGAAACCCAGGGCACCCTGGAGGCAAGCAGGGTGTTTCTTGGCATGGGTCCCCACTGTACGCCACAGCCGTGTCTGGCCAGCCATCCCAGGCCCTTGCATGGTGTTTACGCCTCCTGGCCGAGGCCAGGAGGGTCTACACTTTTTACCCATCGAAGAAGCCCAGCGGCAGAAAGCGGCAGTCGGGGGGGAGGAGGGAGGGAGGGGGGGGAAGGGGGGAAAGCAGCCCGCGCGCGGGAGGGAAGGGGGGAAGGAGGGTGTACACACCCTCGTGTGGCCCAGGATGGCCCTCGCCTGGCACGGCTGTGGCGTATAGATGTCGCCTGCGGACGGCGGAGGGACCTCTCGGGAGAAGCACCTTCGCCCCTACCAGGAGCGTCGGCTGAACTGCCGCCGGCTCCCGCCGCGGTTCCCCAGACCTCCAACGTCCTGGCTCTGCCACAGCGGCCAGCGGATTCCCAATGCGACAGCGATCAGGTCACGAGCAATCTCACGGAGGCCCCCGCGGGGCACTCCGAGACCTAACTTACGTGAGATCGGCGTCAGATGTGCATCGGATCTGTGTCGGATCTGCGTCGGATCTGCGTCGGAGCATCGCCGTGCGGACGCCGTCCAAAATCCGACGGGGCGGACGTGGGGACCAGATAGTACACCTACTACGCGCCGCGCGAGGCCTGTAGGATTTTCCTTATAGGCTTTGGTCGGGCATGTCCTCCTACAGGCGTATTTTGAGCGAAAATTGTGAAACAGTAAAAAACATATGCAAAAAAAAAAAAAAAAAAAAAAAAAAAAAATCGTCGCCAGACAATTCTTTGACTATTTTTGAAGATTCCTCCCGTAGAGGGACACGCCTCACTCTATCACAGGCCACGGCCGCGACGACGACCACGGCCACGGCCACGGCGACGGCGGCGGCGACAGCCAGCGAGGCCTCCGAGGAGGCGCCGGGCCCCGGATTCGGGTGCCGCTCGCGCTGCAGCGGCGAGCGGATGTCCTGGCGGAGGTGCGCCACTGGGCAGCCACCCGCGCTCTGTCGGTCCCATTGCCTCTGCTTGCTCGCTCCCGTCGATGATGCTCAGAATGTGTGTTACAGTGGGGGCCCGACCACAAGAAACCTTCCACGAGAAACCCAACCCTGAGGCCCCAGGGCGTCCGTTGATTTGTGGTGTGGGAACGTCACGCTTTCCATAGCAAAACCCTCGAAACCCACGAAACCCAGGGCACCCTGGAGGCAAGAAGGGTGTTTCTTGGCATGGATCCGCACTGTGCAAGCTCCCGTCGATGATCCTCAGAAATTGTGTTAGCGCCAGCGTGTGCTTGTCCACCGCCGCCCGTCAGCAATTACAACGCAGGCGGTGCCACGGTGGCCGCCGCAGGCCGAACGAGGTAAGCACACATTGGGCTAACCGTCTCTGGAGGCAACTCCAAGGATGGCCGTGCGCGGGCGTGGCTAGGACGAGGAAAAATCCGTTCAAGAGAGTTCTGGAGCGCTCAAAGCGTTCCGGAACGCTCTGGGAAGGACGTGGCGTCCGAGACGTCCTCCAGAACCGCCGGATCCCAAAGTTCTCGATTTATCCTCACCCGATTTGATCCTCGTCATGGCTTCTCCTTAACCAGGCCAGACGGGGCGGGTCTCGCGCCCCAGCTTGCCTCCTGCGATGCTCCTCAGGACAGTAGCTCTCCACTATGACGCAAGCAATGCAATGAGGGCCGGCACAAGCTGCGTGCTATGGGCGGAGCCCAACGGGGCAACACACACACACAGTTGGGCCAACACACGATGCGAGGATCATCGGCCTCTGCACGAACGCGCCGGCCGCGGCTTCGACGGCGGCCACGGCCGCGACGGCGGCGGCGGCGTCGGCGGGCACGGCCGCGACGACGGCGACGGCTGCGACGGCGATGGCGCGATGGCCGCGACGCTTGCGGCGGCGGCGGCAACGGCGGCGGCAACGGCGGCGGCCACGGCGGCGGCGGCCAGGACATGCGGCGACGTCCAGCGCCAGCGTCCCCTGCAGCGCCCTGCGCAGCTCGGCGGCGGACGCGAAGGGCCAGAGGCTGCCCCCGCGGCCCGCGCCGCCTGGCGGGCAGCCCGAACATACTGGTCTCCTCGAGGGGCAATGCCAAGGGGTCTCGAGGGGAGGCTTTCTCTGGGGGGACGTTCGGGGAACTGTTAGGGGACGTTCTCATTGGTTCGATGGCCTGGGACGCAGAAGGACATCCTGGTACGATGTGCTGATGTTGGAGGCGACGTCCGAGCATTCGCGCGCGCCAGGGGCGGCGCCAGAGGCGCCGGCGGGGAACCAAGGGGCGGGTCCAAGAAATCCGCGCGGAGCGCCAACAGTTAATGTGTATGTGTTTTTGTTCTTTTTCGACTAGCACATCGTTTCCCGAGCGGTATCGCCAGAAGGCATCCGCCACGGCGCTTCTACTAGAAGATATCTGAGCGTGCACGCCGCCCTCGCGGGCCCGACGCACACAAAGTATAGTAGCATGTTCGGGTGGTGCCAAAAAGCGTCCAGCCTGAGCCTAATCCCCCTAAGGTTAGGTCGGGCCTGTCCCCCTACAGGGGGATTTTGAGCGAAAACTTCACAGTACTCTAAAGGTACTCCAAACATGCCCGAAAATAGTCAAAAACAAATCCCCTGACTACTTTTTACTATTTCTGAATATTCCCCCTGTAGAGGGACAGGCCCGATTTAACCCTAACGTTTCGGCGACCTGGTGACCCAGGTCAATCCAAACCCGGGTACGTCGGGCTCATGCAGGGTCCCGCAGGACCCTGCGGGATCCTGCACGATTTGGCTTGCTAGCCCTGGTCAATACAACCCTGGATGTGCAGGATCCTGCAAAGTCCAGTGCTGACCCCCGCTTGCATTGACGCTCGTCTCAAGGCTCCCGAACGTTGCTCCCGATCGCCTCTCCGCTGGGGCGGCGGCGGCGGCGGGCCGAGGGGCATGGCGACACCACTCCCCAACCTGTAATGTGTGGCTGTGTGTGGTGTCCGCCTGGGCCTGCAGCCCGGGGGCCCAACTCGGGGATGCCACCCTCGACCGGGGTGCGCCCGAACAGCAGCGCTCTTGGTGGTGCATCCCCGAGTTTCCCCTTCGTGCCCGAGCGGCCAGCATTCGAGGGGACGAGCGCGGGATCGGGGACGGGAGTCCGCCTGCGAGAGCGGCAAATCTTGACTACCTCGGAGGCGGCCAGGGTCTTGCTTGAGAGGTGGAGGTTGGCCGCCTCCACCACTAGAGGCCTCCTAGATGGGGTCGGAGGATCGAGACGCATCGCCGATGAATCGGCGATGCATCGGCGATGCATCGCGGATGCATCGGCGATGGATCGGAGATGCATTGGCGATGCGTCGGCGACGCATCGGCGACGCCAGCGTTGACAGAACCGGATTACACGTCGAGCCGCATCCCCGATGCATCGGCAGTGTGGCGCGATCCTCCGACCCCATCTACTGGGACCCCATCGACGAGGCCTGGATCTAGGTCGGGCGTTTCCTCTTACGGGAAGAGCTTGGACGAAAAATACAAAATAGTCAAATCAGCATTTCACAAACAATATTGTTGAACATTCTTCCTGTAGAGGGACGGGCCCGACCTAAGCCTAGATCCATCACCCTCAAGACAGCCAGCCCCTGGAAGCCGGGCGTCGCAGCCTCTCCACGCCGCCCGCGTTCGCCCGGCCTGAGCGGCTGGGAGTGCGGCCCCCGCAGGCGGGTCCCGGTCGAGACGTGGCGCAAGAAGCTGTAGGTCGGGCATGTCACCCTACAGGCCGATTTGAGGCAAATTATCCCAGTGCGACCCTACATAGGAGTTGGAGCCCCTAGGAAAGCAGCATTAGTACGAACAGTAAAGCTAAAGCTAAGCTAAAGCTAAGCTAAAGCTAAGCTAAAGCTAAGCTAAACCTAACTTAAAGCTAAGCTAAAGCTAAGATAAAGCTAAACTAAAGCTAAGCTAAGCTAAGCTCAAGGTAAGCTAAAGCTAAGATGAAGCTAAGCTAAAGCTAAGCTAAAGCTAAACTAAAGCTAAGCTAAGGCTAAGCTAAGGCTGAGCTACCGCTGGGCTAAATCTGAGCTAAAGCTAAGGTACAGATAAGCCAAAGCTAAGCTAAAGCTAAGTTAAAGCTACGGTAAAGGCTAAGCTAAAGCTAATATGAAACTAAGCCAAAGCTAAGCTAAAGCTAAAGCTAAAGCTAAGCTAAAGCTAAGCTAAAGCTAAGGTGCAGCTCAGCTGAAGCCAAGCTAAAGCTAAGCTAAAGCTAAGCTAAAGCTAAGCTAAAGCTGAGCTAAAGCTAAGGTACAGCCAAGGTACAGCTGCTAAGCTAAAGCTAAGCTAAAGTTGAGCTGAAGCTAAGCTGAAGCTAAGCTGAAGCTAAGCTAAAGCTAAGCTGAAGCTAAGCTAAAGCTAATGTAAAGCTAAAGCTAAGCTAAAGCTAAGCTAACGCTAAGGTGCCGCTAAGCTAAAACCAAGCTAAAGCTAAGCTAAAGCTAAGCTAAAGCTAAGCTGAAGCTAAGCTAAAGCTAAGCTAAAGCTAAGCTAAAGCTAAGCTGAAGCTAAGCTACAGCTAAGCTAAAGCTAAGCTAAAGCTAAAGCTAAAGCTAAAGCTCTCAGGGGACTGGGGGAACCGCGGGGCGGGGACTGGGGGAACCGCCCGGGGCGGTTAGCATTGCCCGGCCCTTTAAGCTAAGAGAGTAAGAACCCTTCTAGGCAGAGCCTATGTAGGGAAAAACCAAAATACTCAAAGAATGCCCCAAAAATAGTCGGACCTAGTCAAAAAAACCGTCCCCAGACTATCTTTTTACTATTTTTGATTCTTCCTCCTGTAGAGGGACATGCCCGACTTAAAAGAAGCTCAGGCCTGAGGCTCCGCACGCCAGCCGCCGCCGTCCAAACCAGATCAGCTCCAGTCGACGGAGCTCTCGGATCGGCGCTGGGGCCCCCCTCTCTGGCGCGCGGAACGCACCGGGGGCGACGCTGGAGGCGCCGCCAGGGGGACCCAGCGCAGATCCACGAACTCCGCGCGGAGCTCCGAGAGGCTACGTTTGTGCAGATGCAGCTTGTCCTTCCTCGATGGACCCCTCCCGGGGCCCATCTTGGCCCATCCTGGCTTCTCGTCGTGGCGACGAGGACCTCCAGAAAACTTCGAAACGAAGGCCGCGCGACAACGGCGGAGGTGCTGCCGTCGTCGACGTCGTCACGGTCGTCGGCGCCATCGCTGGTCGTCGCTACCGCTGTCGCCGCCGCCCGCTACCATCCCTCGCCGTCCGTCTGGTCTCGTCGTGTCGTCGTCCATCGTTGTCGCCGTCGCCGACGCCGTCGATCGTCGTCTGCTGTCGAAGGTCATCGTCGCCGCCGTCGCCGCTGCCGCTCCAGTCGTGGGTCCCAGACAACGGTGCGGTGACAGACAGCGCAATGACCTCGACATCAAGGGTCGACCTAAACAGTATTTTTGTCTTCAGACCTTCAGTGGCACCTCATAGGAACCTCAAATGTCATCTTGCTGGCTCTTGCGAATCGGCGCTGACCGACGCTAATCGACGCTAACCGCTAATCGACGCCGATAGACGCTAAAGCGTCTAGCAACCGACGCTGAATTGGCGCTGCACTCTGATGACGGAATACCGAAGGCACACGGCTCGCATTATATACTACCGACACACACCACCCTCGGATGTTGCTGCAGGTGCCCCTGGCCCAAGGTGCCCACGGGATTCCCAAAGAGAGCCCCGCGGCCTCCAGAGCACCCCATCACGAGGCCCAGAGGGCCCCATGGGGCTCCCGCATGGAGCGAAAAGCCGGGGGCACCTGGGGCCAGGGGCACCTCCAGCACCCCCCGAGCTTGAATTCGCGGGCGAAGAACGCTACATAAACAAGCTCGGGGCCTCCTGCCCCACGGCGGCCGGAAAGCTGACACTCCTGCGTGCCTCTGCACGGGCCATAAGCTTCCCAGACGCCCTGGGGCGGGCGGCCCCCGACGGCGGAACAGTTGTTTGGTTTTGTTGTTTAATAAAACAACAGGAAAGTTCTTCGACCCCTAAGATTGAGCAGGGACCGACCGTCTTGGCATTCCTCTGGGCCTGCGTACCACGAAATGCTCTTGGAGCCAGTGGCTGTCTCAAGAAGAGCAGAAGCAGCGTTCCTAGAACAGACTCCCGATGACAACGAAAAAAACGGTTTTCAGAACAGACGCCCGCTGCGCAAAAACGAGCCAGGCATGCCATCATAATAAATCGTGCAAGCCACCGCTTGAAAACTGACGGCCCGCCCAAAAGTCGCCGCCGCGAGCCGCCGCCGCCGCTGCCGAACGGGCGGCGCGCCGTCCGCCAGCAGCGCCGCCAGCGCCGCCTCCGCCGCGCCCGCCCACTCCACGCGCATCAGGGGCTCCTGCCCGAAAAAACCCAAAGCTCGGGGCGCTGGCGTTCGGAGACCAGGGCGCGGATGGGGGCGTCGCACCGAAGCGCGCTGGGCCGGCGCGGGCGGCGCGACACGCCGAGCCGAAGTTCCTGACCGCAGCTGGACAGGGGGAGGGAGGAGCGCGCCACAGCACAAACAACGCGGCCCTCGAGGACCGTCCAGGAGCCTCCGTGCCAACCCCCCTCGTCCTTCAGCTCGCCCTCCTCTACCGCGCTGCAACCGCGACCCCGGCACCCATCCGTCTTGGGACTGGGTGGCCACCGGGGTCAGGCGTATGAAGGCGTCGTCCAGTCAGGACGTAACTGTGCACCCCCGCGGCCCGCAGGCAACGGCCCCTGACCCCCACCAGGGGGGGAGGAAGTGAAAAGATGAAGGCACCGCACCTGCACGGGCGGCCCAGGGGGGAAGGAGGGGACGGGGACGGGGGACAGGAGACGGGGGGCGGTCATCGTGCCGTCGTAGCGTTGGTGTGGCCGCCGTCTCCTCCTCCTCCTCCTGCTCCTCCTCCTCCGCCTCCTCCGCCTCCTCCTCCTACTCATCATCCACTTCTTCCTCCTCCTCCTCCTCCTCCTTCTCATCACCACCACCACCATCACCACCATCATCATCATCATCATCATCATCATCATCATCATCATCATCATCATCATCATCATCATCACCACCACCACCACCACCATCATCATCATCATCATCATAATCATCATCATCATCATCATCATCACCACCACCACCATCACCATCATCATTATCACCACCATCATCACAACCATCAGCATCATCATCATCATCATCATCATCATCATCATCATCATCATGGACATCACCATCATCATCACGATCATCATCATCATCATCATCATCAGCAGCATCATGATCATGATCATGATCATCATCATTACCAACATCATCATCATCATCATCACGATCATCACCATCACCATCATCATCATCATCATCATCATCATCATCATCATCATCATGGGCATCACCATCATCATCACGATCATCATCATCATCAGCAGCATCACTGCCATCATCGTCTTCCTCATCAGCATCATCATCAGCATCAAAATCTTCAGTATCACCACGACCACCACCATCAACACTCACATCGGCATCCTGGTCATTAGCATCAACATCATCATCATCAACATCCTCATCAGCGTCATCGTCAGCTTCATCATTTGCAGCAGCATCAGTTTCATCATCAGCAGCATCAGTTGCATAATCATCCTCATCAGCATCATCATGATCAGCATCAGCATCATCATAATCATCAGTATCATCAGAATCATCATCAGCATCGTCATCAGCAGCAGCATCAGCATCAATCAGAATCGTCATCATCATCATCATCATCATCATCATCATCGTCATCATCATCACCATCACCGTCATCAGCATCATCAGCATCATCATCATGCCTCCTCGTCAACTTCCCTCTCCTTGGGAAGATCCACGGAGACACGTGTGATTGGGTTCTCGCCTCATCCTGCTCCTACTCCTCATCCCTCCTCCTTATCCTCTTCCTCCTCGCCCCTTCTCCTCCTCCTCCTCCTCCTGCCCTCCTCCTCCTCCTCCTCATCCTCCTCATCATCATCGCCTTCACCATCATCATCATCATCATCATCATCAGCAGCATCATCATCATCATCATCATCATCATCATCATCACCATCAGCATCATCATCACCATCATCATCATCATCAGCAGCATCATCATCATGCTCGTGATCAAGATCGTCATCATCATCATCGTCGTCGTTATCATCATCATCATCATCATCATCATCATCATCATCATCATCATCATCATCATCATCATCATCCTCATCATCAACATCCTTATCTTCCTGATCCTCGCCCGTCTGCCTCCCTCCCTCCCTCCCTCCATCGATCCTCTTCAGCTTCCTCCTCCTCAAGAAGAGCCGCGAAGACACGTGTGATGTGGTCCGCATCTGCATAGGACTCGCTGCGACACATCCCTGATCACGCCGAAAAAAACAGTTCTGGGAAGGTCAGTGGGAGCACGCGAGGCGTCAATAATCTGAGCCTCGGGGTACACACGTAGAAGCCTCCCGGATGGGATCTCAGCAGGTGGGGTCGGAGGAACACACCGCGTCGCCGATGCATCAACAATGCATCGGCGTTGCATCGGCGACGTCAGCGGTGCATCAGCGACGTTCTCGTGGAAAAAAACGGTTTCCACATCGACACGCATCGCCGATGCATCTGTGATGCGGCGAGACCCTCCGACCCCATTTATTCCGACCCGATTTGCGAGGCCTTGAACACCGTAAGTATCATAACAACCACGTGTTTTGTAACAATGCCTTGCCCACTACTATTTTCCTGCATGCGCCCTCGGGCTCCACTTGCGAAGCGAGATGCCCCCATAGGCCCTGTAGGCCCCTCGACCGGACTTGAATTGACTGGACTGCTACACTGGACCAAAGCCCGAACCTACATCGCCCAACTTCGCGCATCGCGCCCGACGCGCCGTGTTCGCGCCCTCGCGATCTCGCGCGACCGACCTCGAGAAGGGCAACCACTTTGGCCCACACCGCGACGCGCGAAGCGCGACAACCTTCGCGCCCCAGCGGGTGACCTAGCCTAGAGGTCACCTCATAAAAGCCTTCGAAAGTTGCCGAAAACGTCCGCGAGGCATGCCAAGCCTCCAGACCTCCGGGAGCTTCCAAAAACGTCCTGGCAGATTTCTCAAGCGACGGGTTGGCGTCGCCATGTCGGCGTTAGTTTCAGACACCGCGTGGGTCATTCAGCCAAGAACGGTCGCATGTCGCCCTATGCCAACCAAGTTTCGGGCCACCAGCGACGTTGAGCCTTGATCGCTTGCGTTGGGGCCGCCACCGCGTCATCGCGACGCCAACCTAGCGTGCCGGAGTGAATCCTACGAACCCATGGTTGGAGGAAGGTACTGGTCTTTCGGCTGTGGACGAACCTTTGCCTCTCAGACGATGGGTCGGTGCGTGTCTCATTCCAAAATCAACAGATGATTGCCTGGACTCGGGCGCGGGGTTCCGCACGCAATCGCCCCCATACAACCACCTGGCCCCACGCAAAAAAACATTCCCCGCACGCGGTCGGGAAGTCGGGATGACAACGGCGAGGGCCCAGAGCAGGGCGAGTTGAGACAACGGCACATCAAAATCAACCCCTCCTAATGCAACAACTTTCCGAGTTCAGCCGTGGCGGCGAAAGGCCCCCCCCCGAGGTCCAACCACCGCTGTCCCACCTGAACGACGTAACGCATTATTCCGACGGTCGGACCCCGCATGGGAAACCATGTCGTTTGCCCATGGCGTTTTCGCATTCGCAAGGGCGAAGGCACTCTTCCCACGCTCTGTTGCGCCTCTTCCTCCTCCTCCTCCTCCTCCTCCTCCTTTTCCTCCTCCTCCTCCAGGTCAGGCTCGTCCTCCGTATCGTCCTCCTTCTCGTCCTCCCCCGTTACCTCGCCCTCTTCTCCCTGTTCCCCGTCCTACTTTTCCTCCTCCCCTCTTCCTTCCCCTCCCGGTCCTCTTCGCCACTCTGATTGTTTTCCCAATTTTTCTCCCCGCGCAGCCCCCCCCCCCGCCTCCTGGCCAGGGCAGGTTGACGTTCCTCGGCGCCGCCCCCCCCACGTCCATCATGCGCACATTCTCCGACGGCCGGATCGCGAAGCCGTCGGGGCAGCCCCGCGGGCGAGGCAGATGGGCGAACCCCCCGACCCGCCTGGGTGAAGCCAGCCGTCTGGACAAACCCGCAGGTCTGAAGCTTATCGCGGCTCCGCCCAAGCGGGATGCAACTCGTCGGCTAGATCTGCCGCAAGCCGCTCCGCCTGAAACTTGGGATTCGCCGCGCTTTTGTCAAACTCCTCGAGCGCCTCCCGCAGGGGCGCTGGCGGCCCGCGACGCATGAACTCTCGCGCGGGCGACCGTAGGATCAACGTGTTCTTCACGCACGCGGCGAGGGAGAAAAAAACCCGAGGTGCAGCCACTATTACTCGTGCGACATGCCCGTGAGGCCAGCGTCCTCGTCCCTGGCGGAATCGATGGAGACCCTGCGACAGCGTGGAGGTCAGGTCGGACGCGTGCGTCAGGGTGAACCCCGAGCGTCTCACAAAGCGCGGCCCCGAGTCCTGCCAGGCGAGTTCCCGCATGCTGCGCATGAACATGAGCGCCTCCGGCGCCTTGTAATAGCTGCTCGGCGGCCACCTGGTATTCAGGACTGGGGATCCAAAAATTGTCGAAAATGCGGTTTGTTACCAGGTGTTGGATGGCCGCCGCGGATAACCAACGCGGAAAGCGGATCCCACACCAGGGGGGCTCCCGCTTGAGATTCCTCACAATTCACTCAATAATGAAGTTCCCGCCTGAAACTTCCTCCAAACTAACGCTTGAAGCGGCCAGAACTGACAACAGTTATATGAGCTGCGGGCCCCATAAAAGGACCTCATGATTGAGACGTCAGCACATTTCACTCACGGACGAGGCTCCGGTGACCCGCTCGAATTGGTAATATGAGCTGCATGCCCCGTAGGGAGGGGGCAACCACCTGACACCACTCCAAACTCACGCTTGAAGAAGCCGAAAATGACGACCGTTACTGGAACCCGATGATCAGCTCGGATGTAACATAAGCTGCGGGCCCCAAAAACAGGGGGCACCCGCTCAAGACTTCCGCACAGTTCACTCACAGACGAGGCTCCCGCCTGACACTTCCTCCATGATCAAGCTTGCAGAGGTCAAACGCAATGACAATTACAGGATAATGATGATCCGCTCGGATTAATATCATGAGCTGCATGCCCCATCGTGAAGGGGACTCCCCCCTGAGACTCTACAGAACTCACGCTTGAAGAGGCCAGGAATGACGTCAATTAGAAGACTCCGGTGAACTCGAAATTCACGCATCAGCGAGGCATGCGCTTGAGAGCTCGTCAAGTTCGGTGTGTGCACGCGTGTGAGATGAATGAGAACTGTGGGAAAATGGTGTGGTTGTGAGTTCTGGTGATAGATGATGGTGGTGTGATGGCCGTGGCCATAAGGGTGTTATAAGTGTGAAACTATGGTGTGGTCATGATGTGTGTGCGATGAGGATGGTGGTGATGATGGTGACGGCAGTGATAAATATTCTGCGGCGGATTATGATATGCGTGTGTGTGAAAATGGATGATGGTAAATATGGTGATTATGATGGTGCTGATGACGAACGGTCATGGTGTGATGCTGATGCGAATGATTGTGACGACGGTGATCACGACGATGGTGATGGCGATGGTAGGATGAGCCCGAAGTGGTTATCATGAGTGCGACGGGGGTGATGATGCGAATGACGATGATGACAATGATGGTGCATGTGGGAAGAAGAGAAGAGGACGGGGGGGTGAAATGTGAAGTTCCTGCGCAGGTGATACGCAGAGGAAACAAGAATCCCACTTTGGATGTGTGGGGACCTGATATGACGAGAAAAACATAAATATTCAAACGCGGTGGTTAATGCAGGCCGCTTTCGCGGAACGCTACATTGGAGAAGTGGCGATTACGCGCGATACGCGGGCAACTTACGCGCAATTGTCGGCGCAGACGACAATTTCAATTTGCGTCGTTCAACTGGCCTTCTTCTGACAAACACCCCCTGTTGGGCGCGTTACGACCAGACGTTCGGTGCGGGCCTGTTCATGGCCACGATTGCGCCCACAAGGGCTCCAAAAACTTGCCCGAACGGATCCCAGCCGTGGCGCCGCTGGCGCCCAACAGAAACACAGAAACCCGGAAGGCCTCAGCCCGCGAGGTCGGCGACGACGGCGACGGCGGCGGTCCTCGTAGGAGCTCGCGACCCACCCTGGCACTGTCGCGGAGGGCAGGGACTCGAAGGCGGGAAGGTACGGCTTGAGGTCCAAGCAGGGGGTGCCATCCACCACGTCTAGGCCCGCCAAAACCACCTGGTCCAGCACCGTCGTCGTCAGCGTCGTCGTCGGCATCCTCCTCCTCGCCATTTTCCTCCTCTGCCCTCCCCCCCCTGTCTCTCGCAACGGATTCGACCGCTCCCGCGTGGTCGACGCGCCGCGCCCGCCGCGGGGGCCGGCGCCGGGGCCAGCGCGCGCCCGACCCTGTCCAAAGGAGGGGGGGCGAGGGGGAGCGCCGCCCCCTCTCCTGATCAACCCATCCTGAAGCCCACCCCACCGAAGAAGAGGGAGGAGGTCGGAGGGAACGGCTGGGCCGCGCAGTTCGTACCGAAGACGATTCACATCGCGCGTTACGTTGTACACGGCGAAACTTGTCCGTAGCGCCGCAGACACGGTGCATCCTGGCATTTGGAAACATATGTCGAAGTGGCTTGATCAACGGATTTCGGCAGACTGGTATCACCGTAACTATTGCGCAATCCGATCGTAAGCTAAGTCGAGCAGGCTTTCGTTGTTGAGCACAACGAGAAAAAAACTGGAAAGCCCCTGGCTAGCGCTCAGAGGCTTCGAGGTCCTGTGGGCGCTCGAACACGTGGCACATTTTTCATCGAAAAGCGATATCGGTAAGTTCGGTCCTTCTCTTGGCACACAACGGCGAGCCAGTTCTTGGAATACGTGCCCATGTGCTGGACATTGATACTCTTAACGCTTACCGCTAATGGCCATCAATCCCGCTTTGATTCTTCAGCGATCAGCGGTGGTACCCCACGCGCCCAGAATACCCTCGATGCCATTATGGCGCTTCTTGCCGTTAAGCCCAGTTACTCGGGCTGACAGCCTTTGTCGTAGTCCTGCGCGTTCAGGTAACTAGGCGTATCGTTGTACTCCGGCTGTCTATGCCGGTGGTTATGTAACTCAGGCGGCTACCCTCGTCGCACTTGTAGTTCAGATCAGGGCCCTGGTAATGATGCTAGAATATCTGGTAGTTTTGCTTGTAGCCCGCGTGGCTCAAATCGTGGCCTTCGTAGATCCGTGGGTGGTCTGCTGGTGGGTCACGGAATGCAGGTCGGCTCGTCGTCCTCGTAATTACGCAGTGGGTTCCGGTAGATTTATGTAGTCCGCGTAGCTCTCGCACTACAGCTGGCCGTCCTGGGAACCCTGCCCGCGGTGCTCGAAGCCCTGCCTGTGGCTCTGGTTGCTCAGCGCGTGGTGCCATTAGCTCAGCACGCGAGGTCATCGTAGCTCAACCAGTGGCTGTCCTTTTTCAACAAGTGGTTTTTGCAGTTCAGTTCGTCGCCCTGCTAAGTGTGCGGGGGGCTCTCGTAGTTCCGATTGTGGCCCGAGTAGCTCAGGCAGTGGCCCTCGTAGCTCTACCTGTGGTCATCGTAATTCAGCTGGTGGTCATCGGAGTTATGGTTCTGGTCCATGCCATTCAGCTCGACGCCCTCATTGCCCTCCAGGAGACTCAAGTAGGTTTCCCTGTAGTCCGCGTGGATCTGGTCGTGGACCTGGTAGCTCTTGTAGCTCCTGTAGCAGAGCCTGTGGCCCTTGCAGCACAGCTGGCGACTCCGGTAGCTCAGCTGGTGGTCATCGTAGCTCTGCTGGTGGCCCTCGTAGTGCAGTAGGCGGTCCTCCTGGGTCATCTGGTAGTCCGTGTGGCCCTGATTGCGGCTTCAGGAGCTCACGGTCCTCGCTGCTCAGCTCGAGACTCTTGCGGCTCTGCTGGTGGCTTTCGTAGCACGGCAGATGGGTCTTGAAGCTTTTCTGGTTGTTCCCGTGGCTGTGCCTGTGGACCTCGTAGCTCTGCTCATGGCCCTCGTAGCATAGCGCGTGGTTTTCGCGGTTCTGCCAGCGGCTCTCTCAGCTCGTCAGGTGGTCTTAGAGCTCTTCTGGTAACTCTCGTAGATGTGCGCATCGTCCTTGTAGTTCAACCTGTGGTCCACAAAGGTTGTCGGGTGGCTCTGGTAGCTCTGCTGTCGGCGGTGGTCAATCTCATCGTTGTCCACGAAGCTCAGGCAATGGCGCAAGTAGCTGTCCGGGCAGCCCTCGTAGCTTTGCTTCACGCAGCTCAGCTCGTGTCGCTCGTACAATAGCTCGCGGCTCTTCTGGCTCTGCACGTGACTCTCGTAACTCGGCACGCGGGTCGTGAAGCTCTTCTGGTGGCTCTCGAAGCTGTACTAGTGGTCCTCGTACTTCAGCTCTTGGTCCCTGAAGGTCGCCCAGTGGCTCTGGTAGCTCTGCTGGTGGCTGCACCAGCGCAGAGGGCATCCCTTCGTAGTCTGCAAGGTCCGAATCGGAGTCGTCGGCTGCCAAGTCGTAGCTACGCGTTGTGCCAAGAGAAAAATAAGTAGTGGGGACGGAGGGAGGCAAAGGAGAAACGAGGGAGCGGCAAGCAGAGATCATCTGTGCTTTGCCACAAAACAAATTATATCAAGGGCACGCCACATCGGGGAACCCATCAGCGTGCTGCTGCTGAATCAACGCCAGGCCTTCAGGCAACAACAAAGGTGTGACACGCTGACGGGCTGCCAGCGGAGACGTACAGTAGGGGCCCGACCACAAGAAACTTTCCACAAGAAGGCCAACCGAGACCCCAGGACGTCAATTGGATTCTGGTGTGGGAGCGCCACACTTTCCATCGCAAAACCATCGAGACCCAGGAAACCTGGGGCACCCTGGAGGCAAGCAGGGTGTTTCTTGGCATGGGCCTCCACTCCTCCTCCTCCTGCTCCTCCTCCTGTTCCCCCTCCTCCTCCTCCTCTTCCTCCTCCTCCTCCTCCTCCTCGCTCCTCGAACCTCCACCCTCGAGAGCCGCCTCGCCGGCTTTCTTGTCCACACGCACGAGGCGCGCCAGGGACAGGCCGACGGGGCAGGGCCGGTGCGGCGTGCGGCACGCGAGCACGCCTACCCGCAGGTCCTCCGCTCCGTCGTCGACGCCACCGCCACCGCCGTCGTCGTCGTCGTCGTCGTCCTCGTCGTTGTCGTCGTCGTAGTCGTCGTCCTGGGCGTTGACGTCGTCGTCGTGGTGGTGGTGGTGGTCGTCGTCGGCGACGTCTTTGCCGTCGTCGTCGTGGTCGTGGTCGTCGTCGTCGCCGTCATCGTCGTCTAGGTCATATTTGCCGTCGTCATCGTCGTGGTCTTTGCCGTCGGCATCGTCGTGGTCTTTGCCGTCGGCATCGTTGTCATCGACGTGGTCGCGGTCGTCGTCGTTGTCGTCGTCGTCACCGTCGTCGTAGTCGTCGTCGTCGTCAACATTGCCCTTTGTTGTGGTCATCGTCGTCGTCATCGTCCTCGTCCTCGCCCTCGTCGTCGTCGTCGTCGTCGTCCTCGTCCTCGCCCTCGTCCTCGGTGTGGTCGTCGTCGTCCTCCTTTTCCTGTCGTCGTCGTTGTGGTCGTCGTCACCGTCGTCGTCGTCCCCGTCCTCGTCCTCGGCTTCGCCGCCGTCATGGTCGTCTACATCAAGCAGAAGGAAACCACAATACTTGGACGATTCTTGGCCTGTGCGGGGAGCCTTCGCCGCCGTGGCCAGATCCGCTCCGAAACTGTAGTCAGAACGCGCCCCAGGTCGGAGCCGTAGCCGTAGTCGGGCGACGACGTCCTCCAGCTTCTCCCCCTCCCCCTCCTCATCCATCCTACACCTCCTACGCAGACGGGCCAAGAGTCCCACGACAGCCTAAACGCACCCGCAGGCCCCCAAGGGGCCCACGAGAGGGCCGGGGAGGCCTTTCATAGGCCCACAGGAAACCTCCTCCTCCTCCTCCTTATCCCCTCCTCCTCAGCATCAGCATCAGCATCAGCATCAGCACCATAATCATCATCATCATCATCATCATCATCATCATCATCAGCATCAGCATCATCAGCAGCAGCATAATCAGCATCATCGTCGACATCATCGTCATCATCAACATCACCACCACCACCATCACCATCATCATCATCATCATCATCATCATCATAATCCTCATCAGCATCATCATCGTCATCAACATCATAATCAGCATCATCATCGTCAGCAGCAGCATCACCATCATCCTCATCATCATCAGCAGCATCAGCATCAGCATCATCATCCATTTCCTCCTTCTCCTCATTCTGCTCCTGTTCCTCCTCCTCCTCCTCCTCCTCCCTCTCTCTCTCTCCTCCTCCTCCTCCTCCTCCTCCTCCTCCTCAACCTCTCTCTCCTTCCTCCTCCTCCTCCTCCTCCTCCTCCTCCTCATTCTCCCCCTCCTCCCCCCCCCCCCAGATGTGTCCGCAATTGTTGCGCTCAAGGCTTCCAGAACGGCTGGGGGGACACACAGCCCAACAGATTTGCCAGACACTGGCCTAACAGTTGGCCAACGCTTCCGAGATACAACGACGGAAACGCTGCATAGACAGAAGCTTCCGGAGCTCCGCGCGGATTTCTTGGATCGGCGCTGGACACCCCGCCTCGAGGCGGCGGAGCGCCGCAGGGGTGGCACCGCCGTGGCCAGAGGCGCCGCCAGAAGGGTTCCAGCGCTGATCCGAGAGATCCGCGCGGGACCCTGCAAGTCTTATATATATGCCGTTGTTTTGCTTCGAGGAAGGCTGGGGGCGGCGGGGGTTCGCAGAGGGCGTGTCTGATGGTGCCCGCGGTCCTTGTCGTGCGACCGGGGCGGAGCCACTTTCATGCAGAGGCCCTGCCACAGCGGGACGCGCCCGCGCTGCTGCCCCCGCCGCCTGGCGGTCGTCTTGCCCTCGCGCGAGAGGTTCGTGTTCTCGTGGAACACATACAGCACCCAACAGTGGCTGAACTCCTTCTGGCAGAGGAAAATGCAGAAAAAAACGATTTTCTGCATGAGCAGAACCTTGCTGAGCTCCACGCGGACACCCTGGATCGGCGCTGGACTCCCCTCTCTGGCGTGCGCGCCAGGGGCGGCCCTTGAGGCGCCGCCAGAGGGGCCCCAGCGCACATTCAAGAAAACCGCGCGGAGCTCCGAAAGTTTATGTGAATGCCGATGTTTGTGTTTCGATATGGTGTAGAGCCAAAAACCAGCCATAGGGATTGAGCGTAAATGCAAAAGTGTACCCTGAAAGCGCCAGGACATAAGTATCATTGGACCGATGGGCAGGCTGAGCCAAAATGGTAGTAGTAACTGCGAGTTGCTACAAGTGGCATCGTCGCGTACTCTAGGCCTGGACAAAGACAGCCGTCCCCACCCCCATCTGGGGAAGCCAAAATACGCATGACGCAACTCAAACACTACACTTTCCATCAGGATGAGCTCCAACTTCAGTCTGTGAATGAGGGCCCCGGCCACCGAGGGGACATGACTGGTGATAAGCGCGCCAAGACCCGTGGAATTCAAGGGTCCCTTCCTTCATAACTCCCAAACCTGCCGGGTTTTGATTGAGCAGGGACCGACCGTCCCGGCATTTTTATAGGCCTACCACGACATGTTCTTAGATCAAAGGATTGTTCTAAGAACAAAAACGATGTTCTAAGAAAATAAGCCCGACGTATTAAAACAAGACGGTCCCAGCCAAAAATGTTCTAAGAACATTTCGTGGAATCCACAAAAGGTTCTTCGAACATTATTTGCTAGGCCTATAGGCGAACTAGGACGCTTCGCCACAACAAAAACACTGCGCCATCTAAACACTCTAGGCCCTGCGGTCCTTAGAGCACCCCGAGAAGCCCTTGAAAAAAGGCTCCTGAGAGGCTCGTGGGAACCTCCTGAAAGCTGAATAGATGTTACTGAAAAGGCGTTTGGGGAGATCCTCGAACGATAATGAAAGGTTTCGAGGGTCCCGAGGGGGATCTCAGAGGAGAGGGTCATCGGAGGTCCTGAGCTTTCCCGAGAGGGTCCTGCGAGGGAATGAGAAAGGGTCCTGGGAGGCTCTGGAGAGAATCTTGATAAGAGAGGCTCTCGAGAGGCTCGCGAGGGAGGCCCCCAAATCCCCAAAGCAACACCTGTGCGTTGCCAGACAACTGTCGAAGAGGAGACCCACGAGTTAGGTCGGGCATGTCCTCCTACAGGCGGGTTTGGAGGACACATTAAAACATAGACAAAATCTCAAAGACAGCCAAACATAATAAATCGTCCACAGGCAATACTTGGTCAATTGTTGAACCAACCTCCTGCAGAGGGACGTGTCCGACTGAACCCAAGAGGCGCCAGCATCGCAAGGCGCATCCGCGCACGCGGCGCCCCCCGGGACCCCCCTCACGGGAGAGACTCTGGATGATCACTGCTTCCATATACTCTCACTCACTCACAACTCGTGCGCCGAAGTGCGCGCACACGCAACTCAGATATGCGATGGCGGCTCACGCCGGCCCTCCACCGGACTCACAATGAGTGTTCTCTCTCCAATGATGGCAGCGTGTTTGGCGCCGTGGCTCACCCATTCGTTCCTCGGGCGTCCAACCTTCTCAACAAATCTGTGGTCGACGTGCGCGTTCCTGGGACGAACGTGTTCGTGATGATGATCGATCCTTGCTTCCACGTGCTAGAACTAAGTCGGGTATGTCACCCTATAGGCGTATGTTGAACATCTTTAAAATAAATAACAAACCCACAAAAAAAGATTCAATCAAAAACGGAAAATAGTCGGAAACCATCCCGAGACTATTTAGTTAACTATCCTTGAATAACCCACCTGTAGAAGGAAATGCACGACTAGATACTGGAACCCTAATGCGAGGTCCCGATAAGTCAAGATGCTCACGACCCGGCGTCGAATGGCTGGATAAAAACCCATGAACAAGCATAACAGTGGTACTGGATTCGGTGGCAACGCATGAAAGCTTCCCATACCATATTGCTGGCTATTGGGTATGACAGATAACCGAAGCTAGTCTACGCTTGCCGATGTTAAATCGACGCCAGCTGCGCTACGTCGACGCTAATATACGCTGAGCCTGCGTGACCTCATCGATCACGGGACGCCAATCGACGCCAGCGCACTCTGAAAACAGAGGTACGAGGGCATGCAGCGGAGACCTGTCCACAAGAAGCCTTCCCCGAGAAGCCCAACACTGAGGCCCCACGACGTCCCTGGATTTTAGCGCGGGAGCGTCACGCCTCCCACAGCAAAACCATCGAAGCCCAGGAAGCCCAGGGTACACCTGGAGGCAAGCAGGGCGTTTCTTGGCATGGGCCCCCACTGCGCAAGGCTCCCATGATTTTCTACCGAAGCTGGTGTTAACTGCCGACTGCAGAGCACAACATAGGCTTAGGCCGGGCGTGCCCCCCTACAGGCGGAGCTTGGACGAACAATGAAACATGACCATCGAAAGGATTCATAAATAATCAAAACAATCGTATCACTACTAATAGGTTTGACTTTTTTTGAACATTCCTCCTGTAGAGGGACAGGCCCGACTTAAACGTAAGAGTTACCTGGGCCAACGCACCCCCGGACCCCGCGCACCCCTGGGCGGCACCCCCGGCGCCGCACTCGGCGCCCCAGGCGCGATCCAGCGGAGGGGGCGCGGGGGATAGGCCCCGCAGGGATCGAACGGGCTGGGATAGTGGATGCCATGGCCGTGGACACCCTCCACCGCCACCGCTGAGCCAAGCATCCGGAAGGACGCGCGGGCAGATCAGCGCGCGATTGGCGACACTTCGGGCAACTAAAAATATTATCGTCGATTCGGGGATTGCTCCTGCATCGCGCGCAATCATTCCTGCTAAGTAAATCGCCCCCCGGACTGTTGCACATGGACCTCCGTCTGGGCGCTCGACTACAATTTGTGCAAACTTGCATATTACGCATTGCTCCATATCAGCTCGAGGCCATGCTTGCGACCTTCGGAGACGATGGCGTTGAGCATGTTTTGTATTTCTGCTTGCTCCGTGAGATCACGAGTGCGTCGCCCGCGCACAGCGCGTCGCGGGTCGCCGCGCAGGCGGGGCCCGCCTCAAAATCGATGGAAGCCACGACGTCGAACAGCATGACAGCCTGGACTGCCAAAAACAAGTGAAGAGATAGAGGGCACCCGCGTGCGATGCCTGCATGTTGTCGCCTCTCCGTGGATCTGCCCGCGCGGTCAACTATCGTGGAAAACTGGGCAGCGCAAACTGCATCAGCCGTGGAAACCATGTCTGCCGGCATACCGAGGCGCCGCAAGGCATCGTTCATGCTGTCGGGCTCGAGTCGGTCATGCGCTCTCGCCCAGTCCAACATGATCCACATAAGACAATCAATTTTATTGGAGAGCGAGGCGTCAATCATCCGTCTGACAAAGCACGAGGGCATCTGCGGCCCCACGCCCCGGGCGAAATCCGAATTGCGAGCCGCGCGCGCGGGGTTCAGCACCTCCAGAAATCTACGCTTGATGGGGCAAGGGTGCCCAAACATTATACCCCCACTTCTACTAACGAGATGCGTCTGCAAGTTTCGGGCAACAATATGACATCTGCCAGCCTCCGCGATGTAGGCATTGACTTTTGCCCCCAACACTTCTGGCGCGAGCGAAGTAGCAGAGCGCGCGCATCCCGATCGGCCTCCAAACATTTCCAAACATCTGGAGGTGCGCCATCGGGCCCAGCAGATTTCCCTTGTCGAAACCTCCGTAAAGCAACAGAGATCTCGTTCATACTGAACGCGCCCGCGTTGATCGGCAGCACGTCGCCCGCCTCCAGGGCCTCGACCCGGAAGCGGGTTTGCCACTGCACGTCTTTTTTGTAGTCGGCCAGGACGTTCGCTCGATCCGCTGCGTCCGCAATGGTCCCATCAGGGCGCTTGATGGTCGCGTGTTGCACCGTCCTGGGTCTTCTCAGGCGTCGTGCAGCTTCCCATCTCCGATCTCGCACTAACAGGTCCAACCATACTCTCTTGTCTTTTGCCCCCGCCTTCCGAATCAGCGCGCGCAGCTGCTGTTCTCTTGCGCGTTCACTGTGTAAGCGAGCCACTCTGCGCTGCTCGATGAGATCGCGGGTGTTTCGGCTTGTCCAAGGCTATCTACCTACGACGGCTCGCTTCGGAAGTATTTCGGGGGTCTTTTCGAAACCGTGCTCAACCCAACTGTCTGCCAGCTCCACAGAATCGCTCGCGTCTTCCAAAGTACCCCTTACTGCGCCAACTAATGCTGCAATGGAGTCGTTCTGAACGCCTGAAATGTGCAGGCCAGCCGCGTCTATAAATGCATTATGCGGCGGGCCTCCGTCAACATGCACTAATGATGCGTGTTAAATACATCTCGACGGCTGGTCCTGACATCTGCGATCGCATGTTGGACGGTCCGGTGGCAAAAACCATGGTGGATTCGAACAAATTTATCCCCGGAGATTTCGCTGCCCATCGGGTCGATGCCAAGCTCCCTGCAGTTACTTTTCGGTCCGCCGGATGGTCGAATAACGTCTTGGCCACCGCCATCTCGTACGAGATACAAGCTTCCATCAACAATTGCCTATTGGAAAGTGCACGTGGACTTCGATCGCCTTGGGCGCTCCCGCCCGTAGCACGTAGGCCTTCGAACACATGCGGACCAATAGTGTGACGTTCCCCAGCTCGTACTGGCAATAACCTCGCGCTGAAGCCGCCAAGGATGTAGGTGGTGCTGTGAGCCGTCGTCTTCCGCATATGTGCTTGGGGGTCAGCGTAGAAGGAGCTGCGGATTTCACACGGCTGGCCATTATGAGGGGCATACGCGCTCAATATCGCAAGAATTCCGCATTTAACTTTGATGCGCAAGGAAGCGATCCTGGAGCTACATACCTTGAAAGCCACAATGCTCCCCAGCATCCTCGGGGCAACCAGGAAACCCACGCCTGCGCACGCACTTCCAGGTCAAATTCGCCTGACAGAAAAAGCATGTAGCCACTCTGTGCAACATATTCGGCACCATGGATGTGTGTCGTGAACACATAATGTATCAATGCTGCGCGTGCCCATGATGTCGATCAGTTCTTCAATCTTGATGTTCGAGCCCCCTTCGCGGGCCTTCGACATTCCACGCGCCGAGACGGCCAGGACAGCAAGGGGTACAGGCAGAACGGGGCCCACCCTAGCACAGCTGCTCAGGGCAAACTTGATCACGTCGCCCTCCATTGCTTCGTCCGTGCGAATGTCCGGCAGGACGAAAAAGGGTGGTGGAAGAAGTCCAGCAGATGTATCCAAAGACGGTGGCACGGAAGGTGAGACGACCGCGGGCCGCTGTACGACGGTATCTTTGCCCAAATTCGCACTGGCGGTGGTGGCATCTTCGCCCACAATTGCGGCACACGTATGTGCATAACGGTATTGTTGGCTGGCTCCGGAGCCCCGGAATCCGGCCGCATTTCCTTCTGGTCTTTAGATTTGCCTTTTGCCGAATATCCCATTCCCTCGGTAGCTCGCTCCAGTAGTGTCGTGCTTTTGCGAATGAGTTCGATGAGTTTGGGATGCTTTTGTAATTCCTCCCATGTTTTCCATTCTGTGCCCCATTCCAACAAGCTGAGATTCATGTACCGAAATAGATACTGCGATTTCCCCTCCCCAAAACAACTTGAAAAAAGGGGAACTCGACAATTGTGACCTGTATCCTCCACGTGTTGTGCAAGTCGTTTTTGAAAACGCATTTCAATTCAAGGCACATGTTCCGAGCCGCACGGAAAGATGGAGGTTTATCTGGTGATACCTAAATTGCTGTCCCTCCGTGGTTGGGACTCGCACTCCGTAAAATACCAACCGCCAAGTCTCGATCGGCTTCGCTAGCGAAAAACACGAAGAGGATGTCTTGGAAGTCGCCTTTGGAATATACGTCAATAGCCGCAGGCAAGGACAACGAAGAGAGTCTTATTGACCCACGAAGTGGCTGCTGACAGAGAATCAAATCCAACCAAATTCCCAACGACTGCTGTGAGATCCCGTTTTGCTTCCCTTGTAAAACTATCTGACTTCCAATGTTGTACTTGGCCGGGCACCTTCAGCTTAGACACCTAGTCCTCGAGCGACTGGATGTGCTTCCCAATAGTCGTGTCATCGCTCTGGGGGGGGGGGCCTCGGACTGCTCGGCGGACTGATTCTCGAGGTTGGTGAGGCGGATAGCGATGTCCTCGATTTGCTCTTCCACCTCCTCGAACCTGGCGTTGATGTTCCCGCTCACCTCATTGAGGCGAAGTTCGAGAGGGTTGATCGTGTTTCGGATGGGTTGCACCTCCCAGCGGATCACGCTTGCGATCTGCTCCAAGGTAGGCGGAAATAGAGGTCGCCCATACTGGTCCTGTTGTCCCGGATGTAGGAGTCGCAAATGCGGGTACCTCCAGGCCGTCGTCGCCGCCATCCATTTCGTTGAGTGGGCTGAACAGACGCCTGCGCGTCGTACTCTCCCGCCCAACTCCCACAGGCATCCCTGGAGCCCGGGTATGTGCGCGAGGGGGGCGAGCTGCCGTCGGAGATGACATATGTGGTGCGACCGGTGTAATACGCGGCATGATAAGAAGAGGAGCCGAACAATCTTGAGCCTCTCCGTTGCTTCTTGAGCCAAATGGCTACGGATGTGCTCAGAATGTTTGAAGGAAGTTCGTTTGAAACAAGGTTACTACCATGTTTAGGACATGTTTTGAACATATTCTGAACATCTGGAAAGTAGTTCGCAACATGTTTCCTCCCCATTGATCGTCATCCACGAAGCCAGGGCTGCGCAGCCAACGCACAGGACAGGCCAGTCAACGCCAGTCGCTGGCGTCGATGCGGCTCCGCCTCCCTCAGCGAGGTCGGGCGCTCGGAATCGGTCGGGCGTGTCCCCCCACAGGGGGATTCTGGACGAGAAAAACCCCAACAAATACTTAAACATGTGCAGAAGCATATGCAAAAACGTCCCCTGACTATTTTTAGACTATGTGTGAACATTCCTCCTGTAGAGGGAGAGGCCCGACTTCACGCTCGAAGACAGAGGGGAGGGGGGGCCCACTAAGGAAGCCCGATCGGACCTCCGGTGCTGGCATCCTGGTCTCCCGACCCGAGAGCCGCGCACCGCGCGTGAGCACACCGCCTGGCCGGGGGCCCATCCTGCGCCCCAAGGATCGGCGTACAGGCTCGCCCGGCTTGGCCAGGAGGGCACGCGTCGAAGAAGAAGAAGAAGAGATGACTACCTACCAGACCACCCCAACCTAACCCGAAGGCCCGAATTTCGGGTTGGGTGGGGTATACGTGTTTTTTCGACGTTCCCGGACCCCCCCCCCACTAGAAATCGAGGGTAAATCTGAGCCTTCGGGTTGGGTTGGGGTGGTTTGGTGGGTGGTGAAGAGACGCCATAGACACAAACTTTTGGCACTTCGCGCGGACTGCTCGGAGGTCTGCGCCAGACCCCCCTCCGCTGGCGCGCGGAGCGCGCCAGGGGCGGCGCCGGAGGCGCGGCCGGGGGGGCACGGCGCGGATCCAAGAAACCTGCGCGGAGCGCCAAGAGTTTATATGCCTATGGCGATTATTATGATTATTATTATGATGATTATTACTAGTATCATTAGTATTTAGTATGATTAGTATTACTATTATTATTACTACTATTAATATTATTAGTAATAGTATTAGTATTAGTATAATAATAATAATCATCATTAGTATTATTATTATTATTAGTATTAGTATTGGTATTATTAGTATTATTATCATTATTATTACTATTATTATTATTAATATTCGTCTTATTATTTTTCTTCTTCGACCCGTGCACGGGATCCCCCTGCGCCCGCGCTTGGCCTGGCCAGGCCCGGTGCCGACGCGCCGCTGGCGTCCTCTGCTGCTTACGCTTCCTCGACCATGGATCTCCCCCGTGACCCCCAGCGCTCTTCGGACCGCCTTCGGCGGTCCTCGGCGCTCTGCGGGCTGCCTTCGGCGCTCCTCCGGCGGCCTTCGGCGGCCCTCCCAGACCCCCGGCGTCGTGATTAGTGCATTGCGTCGGCCCCAGGAGGTCTCGGCCCATTCCCCTGGACTGGTTTTCCATCCCGAGCCGCCGTTCTTCGACGGTCTCGAGGGCCAGTCAGGGCCCCCAGAGGCCAAGAACAGGAAAAAAAAACTCCCGTCGCGATATTTTCATTATACAATGCCCGAGGGAGTCTGGGCTCGGCGTTCCCCTCGGCGGCCTCCAGCGCGAGGGCTGGACTTTGCTGCGCTCTATGATGGGCCTGTTTTCCACCACCACCACCATAAGTTGGAGGGGGAGGTCCCTCCTCCTCCTCCTCCTCCTCCATCTCTCCTCCTCCTCCTCCTCGACCTCCTCCTCCTCCTCCTCCTCCTCGACCTCCTCCTCCTCCTCCTCCTCGACCTCCTCCTCCTCCTCGCCCTCCTCCCTCCTTCCCCCCTCCAACTTGTGATGGCGGTGGTGGAAAGCAGGCCCACCACTCCACGAGGCGAGGGCGGCCCGGCTCCTCGAGGCCCTCCAGCGCCGCCGCGGGGTTCAGGTCGCGAACGCAGCGGAGCACCGCGAGGCTGTCCTGCACGATGCCGCCCTGGCGCGGCGTGCCGCACCGGCTCCTGCGGGCACGGCCGGTCAGGCTGCGCACGCGGCAGGCCCGTGCCGCCACGGCCCGGGTCAAGGTGGCCCAACCCGAGGGGCGACACGAAGGTCGGGCCTGTCCCTCGACAGGGGGCAGATTCACAAGCAGTCAGAAAAATACGCTGGGGACGAGTTGTCCCAGTATTTCTTTGCATGGTTGGATACTTTTCCGATTATCTTTCATGTTTCGTCCAAGATCCACCTGTAGGGGGACATGCCCGACCCAAGGCTACACGCAAGAGGGACCCTGGGTAATAGTGACCTTCCTTTGGCGCGCGGCGTTTTGCGGGGCCGCGGGAGGGCCAACACGCAAGCGCGCAAAACGCCACTATTGAGCAGGGACCGACCGACCCGGCATTTCTATAATGAGGCTTACCACGAAATGTTCGGAGAACCCGGAAAAATCGATGACCAAAAACAATACTCTCAGAACATAAACCCGATGTATTCTAGGAAGACAACCCCGACCAGACATGTTCCAAGGACAGGTCGTGCAGACCACAGAAGGTTCTTGGAACATTGTTTGGTAGGCCCGTAGACACGCCTAGACGTTCCGCCAGTGCTTGACACTAGACCGCATCGCGTTCGGCGGTCGGGGGGGGCCACCGGGCCCGCACCCGAAGGCCACTCCGGCGCAGGGCCACCCTCACGTCCAGTCGACGACCGAAAGCCTCGGGCCACCGCTGGCACGCCCCGCGGCACTCCGGTCGCCAGATCGTTCCACCTGGGGCCGACGCCGGGCTCCCCGCGGCGCTCCACCTCGGAGGCCCGCGGCGGGGCCGCCGCCGCGTCGGCACGGCACAGACACCTTCCGCAGACTTGAACTTCGGATGCCCCCGCGGACGATCTCTCCGCCGGCGCCAGGGCCGCCATGGGAGCGGCGCCCAGGAAACCGCCCCTTCGCTGTCCGAGGCCTGTTGATGCACGGCATGTTCGGGGCGTGACGACCTGGGCGTTGACTTCTTGGCACCTCTGCCACAGCGCGGATCGTTCAAACTGCCACGATCCGCGGCTTTCCGATCGACTCTGGGCTCGTGGCGGCGCTCCACCGCAAACGCCCGTGCTGGGGTCGCCGCCGCGTCGGCACGGCACAGCCTGCCGTGTGCGTGCCGTGCTTGCCCCCCCGGAGCTCCTGTAGCAGGACGAGAACACCCCGATCGGGTGGAAGACGAAGCCGCCGGGCCCGTCGTCCAGCCCAGCCCCTGGGAAGCCACAAGCCTCGCAGGTCTTGGGTCGCCGCTGGACCCCCCTCCTCACACGCCCGAAAAAACTGCCTCCAGGCTGAGGGGCAGCGTCGGGGGGGACCGGCCCAGGAAGGAAAGCCTTCGAGCTGGAATCGGCGATGCACCGCCCGTGGATCGGCCAGCGAAACCGCGCGCTCCTGCGCGGGGCGGTCTGCCTGGCCCCCATCTTCAGGTCGGGCATGTCCCCCTACAGGCGGATGCTGCACAATCAAACCTACCCCCAAGATGATCGAACAAAGTAAAAAAAAATAGAAAACTCGTTCCCATATGGTGTTTTTTTGGCTATTTCTGAATACTCCTCCTGTAGAGGGACGTGCCCGACTTAAATTTGGCCCCTATCTGCGATGAATGGGCGATTGGGTGTCGACGCATCACTTCACCCGAATATATCTCCGTCCCTGGTGGTTTTCGGCCAGAACTCGGGCCTGCGGCGGCCACTCGGAGCGATCTGGGCATCCCCAGCACGCCTTCGGCGAGGCGCAGCCGCTGGAGAGCACCCCGAGGCTGCGAGGCCGCCAGGAGCGATCGACAATTCCCGAGAACCTCGAACCTCGATCCCCCACCCGGAGCTTGTCTTCGATCATCTTCGACCCTCTATCCTCGATCCTCGATCCTCGATCCTCCATCTTCGATCCTCGGAGGCGGCCACAGGGGGGCCGCGCGAGGAGGGTGGGCTTTTCAGAAGGCGGCGGGGCTTCTAGGAATGCAGGGGGGTTTCTCAGAATCCCGCGTGGTTTCTGAGAAGCCGTCTTAGAAGCCTCCAGGGCCTTCTAAGAATAGGGAGCCCGCATAGAACGTACGCGCCCAACCACGTATATGAATATGGCCATCAAGTCCGCGAGACTGGCTGCGCGATGCGAACGTTCGCACGATGCGCACTCTCGAAACCAGCATGGATTCATGCGTGCGTCCTTCTTTCGCTCCCGATAGATGGCCCCCGCTTTCTAAGGAGCCCTTCCGCCTTCCCAGAAGGCCGCCATCCCGCGCCAACCCCTATTTTTAGATCGGGCGTGTCCTCCTACAGGCGGATTTTGGACGGAAAATAAAAAATAAAACACCTCTAAATAGTCAAACATGGAAACGAAAAAGCCAAAAACAACCAACATACCCAAAACAAAACGCACCCAGACTTACCCCTATTGCGTACCGTCAAGATTCTCGATCCTCGATCCCCCGAACGGTTCCCCCGACAGACGTCGAGAACGGCCTCCTGGCGCCCGAAGAGGGGGTGGGCCTCTCAAAGGTGGGGGGGGCTTCTGAGAAGCCAGGGGCATTCTCAGAAGGCCCCAGAGGCCTCTGAGAAGGCTCCTTAGAGGCCGCCGGGCCCTTCCCAGAAGCCCCTCTGCACTCTCCGAAGGCCGCCCCCTCGCGCCACCCAGTCCAGCATGGGGGAAACGGGTACTGAGCGAAACGGGTCCTGGAACCTGGGGGTCTTCCTTGAGGACCAGTCCTTCGTCCTGAGTCCAGGTCGGGCACGTCCCCCTACAGGCGGACTTTGGACGAAACATTGAAAATGGATCGGAGGTGAGGGCTGAGATCAAAGTGGAGCGGAGAGCCCCCCTACTGGGAAATCGATTTCGGTTTCGTGTTCGTGCGTGCCGTGCGTGCGGGCGAGGCGAAGCTGCGTGGGCGGGCGAGGAGAAAGTCTCCTGTAACTAAGGCGCGGCCGGACCAAATGATTCCGGACCGGCGTCCGGTGGCCCGCGGTGTCCCGCCGGTGTCCAGTCGGTGCTCCGATGATGATGATGATAATGATTATGATGAGGATGATGATGATGATGATGATGATGATGATGACGATGATGTTGATGATGATGATGTTGACGATGACGATGACGATGACGATGACGATGATGATGATGATGATGATGATGATGATGATGATGATGATGGTGCTGGTGATGATGATGGTGTCCCGATGATCGTGATGATGATGATGTTGACGATGTTGATGATGATGATGATGATGGCCATGGTGGTGATGATGATGGTGTCCCGATGATGATTATGTTGGTGATGATGATGATGATGATGATGATGATGATGGTGTCCCGATGACGGTGATGTTGATGGTCCTGATGATGTTGATGATGATGAGATGATGATGAAGATGATAATGATGATGGTGTCCCGATGATGACGATGATGATGTGGAGGTTGATGATGATGCTATTGATGATGGTGATTGTGGTGATCATGATGGCGCCCCGATGATGATGTTGATGATGATGACAATGATGGTGTCCCGGTAATGATGATGTTGATGATGAGGATGATGATGAGATGATCATGATAATTTCGACGATGGTGGCCCGATGATGATGATGATGATGATGATGATGATGAGGATGCTGATGTTGATGATGATGATGTCCCGATGATGGTGATGGTGATGATGATGATGGTGGCGATGATGATGGTGTCCCGATGAAGATGATGTTGATGATGATGTTGCTGATGATGATGATGGTGTACCGATGATCATGATGTTGATGATACTGTGCATGATGATGTTGAGATGATGATGATAATGATGGTGGTGTTCCGACGATGGTGATGGTGTCCCGATGATGATGTTGTTGATGATGATGACGATGATGGTGTCCCGGTGTCCCGATGATGATGATGATGATGATGATGATGATGATGACGATGATGATGATGATGGTGATGATGATGCTGATGTTGATGATGATAGTGATGAGGTGATGATGATGGTGTCCCGATGCTGCTGGTGATGATGATGATGTTGATGACGTTGATGAATATGATGTTGATGATCATGATGCCGTCGATTGTGCGATCGATTGTGATATCGATAGTGAGATCGATAGTGAGACCGAATGTGAGATCGGTTGTGAGATCGATAGTGAGATCGATAGTCAGATCGACTGTGAGATCGATCGAATGACATAGATCGAGTGAGATCGATTGTGAGATCGATCGAGAGGGATCGATCGAGTGAGATCGATCGAGCGAGACCGATAGTGAGATCGATAGTGAGATCGATAGTGAGACCGATCGAGTGAGACGCTGGTTCCTCCCCCCCCCGAACCTCCTTATCACCCGAAGGGTGGTCGGTTATGTAAAAAATATGCACAAAAATCGTCCCCATACTATTTTCACTATTTTTTGATATTCTTTCTGTATATATATATATAGAGAGAGAGAGAGAGAGAGAGAGAGAGAGAGAGAGAGAGACACGCCCAGCTTACTCCCGAAGACGGCGAACAATTCTCCAGAACGGGCTTCCCCCAGGACCCGCTTCCCGCGCGCCACCCCCCTCTGGGCGCCGTCAAGATCGTCGATCCTCGAACCTCTAGAGGCCTCCTTGTTGGGGTCGGAGCAGATGGGATCGGAGGGCCGCGCCGCATCGCCGATACATCGGCGATGCACTGGTGATGCATCGTCGACGTCGGCGATGCATCGGCAACGTCGACGTGAAGCAAATCGGGCCCCACATCGGCGATGCATCGGCGATACCTCGGCGATGCGGCGCGATCCTCCGACCCCCCATCTACTCCGACCCCACCTAGGAGGCCTCTCGATATTCTGTCCTCCATCCTCGATCCCAGGGGCCGACGTCATGGAAAAATCCAGGCGTCGGGGTCGGTGGCAACTCATGGTAGCCTCCCGTACCAAGCTTGTCGGCTCTTGCGAATCGGCGCTAATCGACGACAGTCGACGCTAATCGACGCCAAATCGACGCTACCCGACGCGAAATCGGCGCTCTCGTCGACTCCCAAACGCTAATCGACGCGAATCGACGCTGAAGACAAAATTACGAGGGTACACTTTGGTCGGGCATGTCCTCCTACAGGCGGATCTTGAAGGAAAAATGAAGAATAGTCACAAAGTATTCGAAAATAATCAAAAACAATAATCGAAAACTCGTCCCAAAACTATTTCCCAACCATCCTGTGGTGGTAGACAGCGCCCCGCGTCTCCCTCTTTGCTTCTGCCCTCCGCATGTCTCTGTTTCGGCACACCCCTCACGCGTTCTGTGACCCCATATGGAGCTCCACCTAAGGTCCCAGTGGCGGAACTCGCATGGCATCCCCGCTCCATTTTGGCACACCCCACACGCGTTTCGTGACCCCATAGGGAGCTCCGCCTAAGGTCCCAGTGGCAGAACTCGCATGACATCCCTGCCCCATTTTGGCACACCCATCACACGTTCCGTGGCCCCACAGGGAGCTCCACCTAAGGTCCCGGTGGCGGAACTCCCATGGCATCCCCGCCCCATTTTGGCACACCCCTCACATAAACAACAGTCAAACAATGCTTAACAACAGTCAAAATCCACCGACCCTGTCGGCGTGTGGAAGACGCATCCTGGTGTCGTCGTCTTGCGTGGATCACCGTCGTCGTCGTCGTCGTTGTCGTCGTCATCGTCGCCGCCCGAAATCAAAGATACGCGTCCCCCCAGGCGACCCTCTCCCTCCCTCTCCCCCCCCTCCCCCTCCCCCTCCTCCTCCTCCTCCTCCTCCTCCTCCTCCTCCTCCTCCTCCTCCTCCTCCCCCCTTGCTCCTCCTCCTCCTCCTCCTCCTCCTCCTCCTCCTCCTCCTCCTCCCTCAAGCCACCTAGGCCCAAGCATTTTGTTTGTGCCGACTCTTGTGCTTGCTCGGAGCGCTTGAGGCACACAGAGCAGAGCCCGTTGCGGAGGCCAGTCATCTGTGACAAAAGCAAGAGTGTCAGTCCACGCTCTTTCCCTGCCATGGCTTTCTTTGAGCGTAATGCGCGGCTGTGGAGCCGCTGCCAGTGCGGGAAGTGTGAATGGAATGATGTGATCACCCGTGGGCAGGGCATATGCACCAAGTGTAAGCGCGAGGTGCCCCTGTTCACCCCCAAGAAGAAGAAGGGGGGCCTCCGTTCCAGATCGCAATCGCCAGGGAAGGTTTCGTTTGCCGACGAGGCGGAGGTGTGGGACTTCGAGGAGCAGGAGCCCGACCAATGCA